GGGGAACTATTAGGTTATATTCCAAGTATATAAGGAATGTGAAAAGTACACAGCCATAGGTTCATTTACCCTTCTATAAGGCCAAGAAACTATTAATTTGGAACATACACTAATAGCAGTGGCTCTCTAAAAATTTGGTAACATTACATCATAGCCCCTTTCTTCTTTATGGACACTTGCCTTGTTTTAATTATTATTAACATATATTATTTGTTTCAGGGTACAGGTCTGTGATTCATCAGTGTTACACAATACACAGTATGGACACTTTCTTTAAAGCTAGTCTCCTTTAGGGGCACATGGGTGGCTCAGTCGGTTGAGCACCCAACTTTTGGTTTCGGCTCAGGTCATGATCTCAGGGAGTCTGCTCAGGATTCTCACTCTCCCTCTCTAAAAATAAATAAATCTTAAAAAAAAAAAAGCTAGTCTCCTTTAGAGAAAACAACTGAATTTCATAAAAGAATTCAACTAATTTGGGAAATTGTCCTAAAAAAGAAGTTGTGTTCTTAAAGCAAAATCCAACAGAATGATCCCTTTAGATATGTCTTCCTACTGATTAAAGTTCCTAATATTTTAATGTTAACATTTGAAATTTATTTTATCACTTTCTATTTATATAGCTTGCTAAGTGCTAATTTTCTTAAGAACACTCTATCACACTAAAGCTTAATTTCAATAAACATGCAATATTTAACGTCATTAATAATTGAAAAAAGCCAATTAAAACAATTTTATGCTTTTCACTTACTCTAGTAGAAAGAAAATAATTTTGAGGACCGTTCTCAGATCAGTGAAAGCACAAGAAAAACCAGCACTTCTATATATAAAAAGTGGGAGTAAAATTGGTAGGATCTTTTTGAATTCACAAGTATTTAAATAGCCCCCTCTCCCACAACTCTGTATCACAACACACACCTAATTTTTTTCCTTCTTAGCACTCATCACTTTTTTTTTTTAAGATTTTATTTATTTATTTGACAGAGACAGACACAGTGAGGGAGGGAACACAAGCAGGGGGAGTGGGAGAGGGAGAAGCAGGCTTCCCGTGGAGCAGGGAACCCAGATGCGGGGCTCAATCCCAGGACTCTGAGATCATGACCTGAGCTGAAGGCAGACGTCTAACGATTGAGCCACCCAGGTGCCCCAGCACTCATCACTCTTAAAATCTAAAAAGATTAAAAATTCTTTTTTTTTTTTTTTAAATAATTATCTACCCCATTAGTGTACAGGCTTCATAATAGCAGGAGCCTTATTCACTAGTGTATCTGAGCCTAGGACATCTCCTATCACAGAGTAAGTGTTCAAAAAAATCTAATAAATAATTGATAGTCCTAGAAGTATTATTTTGTTTTAAAAGTAAACACAAACAAAAACTTTTGGAAACAACCTATTTGTCCATCAAACCCAGAGTGATTACATACACTATGGTACTTTCATTCAGTGGAATACCAAGAAGTTTTTAAAAATAATATGGCAGATCTACAAGTAACTAGAACGGAAAGATCTAAGGCACATTAAATGAAAAAAATAAGCTGTCAAATACATCCATACTATATTTTTGTGTTGAGAGGAAAAACACATACACAAAATTACAGAAAAACTATGGAAAGATAATACCTAATTGGCAAGTAGTCAATTCTAGGGAAAGGTAGTAGCATTTGGAAAGAGACTGAGAGTGGTCAAGGGTAACTTCAGCTCCATTTGTTTAATTTAAATATTCAAATCATACATTACATACTCATGCAAATTGCTTATGTAACTATGCCCTCTTTTTCAAATTGATTTTTTTTTTTTAAAGATTTTATTTATTTATTTGACAGAGACACAGTGAGAGAGGGAATGCAAGCAGGGGGAGTGGGAGAGGGAGAAGCAGGCTCCCACTGAGCAGGGAGCCCAATGCGGGGCTCGATCCCAGGACCCTGAGATCATGACCTGAGCCGATGGCAGATGCTTAACGACTGAGCCACCCAGGCGCCCCTTCAAATTGATTTCTAAGAGAAATCAACATATATCAGTCAGGGGCCAATCCTCTAAATCTACTATCGAGAATGAGTTACAAAAAAACAGAGGAAAGTGAGGCAACTCATAGACTACCAATAGCAGAGAGCTTCCAGGACTTCTTGAACTAAAAGGGCAGTAAGATGAAATAGTATCACCACATCAAAGAAGCTTAGGATGGTGTCAGAACCACAGTGGGATCTGTTCAGTGGTAAGCTGGACCACGGAAGAAGGGGTCATTAAAGAACTGCTGCTCAAAAAAGGGGTGGAGAAATAAGCTGGCTTCTTTCCTCATTTCACCAACCAATCTTCTCTTAGCACCTACCATAACCAAATTCAAAAAGCAAGTGGGTCTAGTCAAATCATCATGCTGTATACTTTAAACTCACACAATGTTATTTATCAATTATATCTCAATAAAGCTGGGGGTGGGTGGGGGAAACAACAAACACATGGAGAAAGCAAAGGAGCCTAGGAAATATAATCCCCTGCAATACAGAACAGAGTAGGGAAAAGGCAGGGATAGATCTGACAGCAAACTGGCTGACTAGCACAGTCAAGTTATCAAATGTGTGCCCTACTTCCTATATTCTATGGCAGCAGATGATACTCATGGTGGCTCAACATCTATTTTAAGCCTTCTTTAAGAAGTAAATAAGAGAACCCGGTTTGAAGGAAGTGGAGGAAGAATTAGAAGTACAAAATGCAATAATGAAAAAAAAAAGTACATGATCAGAAACACTGTATTATTTCCTAGAACAGCAAATATACCAAAATAAGTCACATGTATAGATTATACAAAATTTCATTATAGCAGATCTCTATACCTGGGAGGAATTTCTGGAGATATGAGACACAATAAGTTTTGAAAAATAAAAGTTCAGCTTAGGAACCAAGAATTTAAACTTAAACTTATGTTTACCAATATGCATTTTGAGGGTCTTCCTCTAAAACCATTTTAGGGGCGCCTGAGTGGCTCAGTCAGTTAAGTGTTTGCCTTCAGCTCAGGTCATGATCCCAAAGTCCTGGAATCAACTCCCACATCAAATCCCAAATCAGGCTCCCTGCGCAGTGAGGAGCCTTCTTCTCCCTCTCCCCCTACCGTATCCCCTGCTCATGCTCTCTCTCTAATAAATAAAATCTTAAAAATAAATAAAACCATTTTAAACAAATATACTTAAAACTCGCATCTTTTTCAAAAAGAATAAAGCAAAAGTCTAGGTAGGGAACTAAAAAAGAACTGCTTAATAAAAATGTCAATATATGGAAAGAAAAGCCTAGTTTCATTTAAGCATTCTACTTACCTTAGACTACGAACTGGTAAACTTTTTCTATAAAGGACCAGATGGTAAATATTTTAGGCTCCAGAGGCCTTACAGTCTGTGTCACAACTACTCAACTCTGTGAAAGCAGCCATAGTTGACATGTAAATGAACAGATGTGACTCTGTTCCAATAAATCTTTACGGACATTAAAATTTGAATTTCATTTAAGTTTCTCCACATGTCACAAAATATTCTTCTTTGATTTTTTCCAACTATTTAAAAATGTAAAAGTCATTTTCAGCTCACAGGTCATATGAAAGGAGGCAGTGAACCAAATTTGGCCAACGGATCATAGTTGCTGCTGTCTGGTCTCAGACAAATAACATCATAGAGCTCTAAATTTGAAGATTAGGTTTGGGTCCCCCCTGTCCAAGTGGCTATGGTGTTTAACTATTTTAAACTATTAAACAAGAGCTAATCTATCTATATTTTTATTCCAATGTATCAGCAACAGACAAGTTTTTAACACAGTTGTCAGATTTTAAAAAATTATATGGTCTCTAATGCAAAGAATCTATGTAAGTACATTTAACCTATGCAAAAACAAACCAGAACACTTCAGAGTCTGTCACTATATTCTTTTTTTTTTTTTTTTAAGATTTTATTTATTTGAGAGAGAGCACAGGCACAGGCAGGGGTAGAGGCAGAGGGAGAAACAGAACCCCCCTGCAGAGCAAGGGGCCCAATGTGGGGCTCGATCTTAGACCCCGGGATCATGACCTGAGCCAAAGACAGCCGCTTAACCGACTGAGGCACCCAGGTGCTCCTCTGTCACTGTATTCAATCAAACAAAGCTAACGTAAGAAAAACCTTGGCCCTAACATACAGGCACTCCATTCCTTTGGCTCACATCTGTGACAAAAGAGTAACCAACTATTAGCTCACAAGTTCTGGTAAGGGATGTCAGTGCCATTATTTGTTTACAAGACTGCAAAAGTATATGATCTACCTTTCATTTTAGAATAAAATAATAAACTCTAGGCAATATAATCTGAATGCCTCTGACAACCAAATCTCAAAGTCTCCAATATAGAAATAAAACTGCCGAAAGCATTCCAAGTTCATCCATTGTTCTACCAATCTTTAACCAATACTGTCTATTAGAAAGTTTTTATTTTTACAGTGCAGCTTCAATCCCTTGTAGAATTGTACTTTCTGAATCTTATTTAACATTTCCCTATAGTTTTGTCCAAAAGGATAAGAAACTGCTGCATAAAACCTAATACCATATTTACTATAAAAAGGATTACAGAAATTTTCATCTAGCGTATCATGTATCACCTTTTTTATAAGAACCTATGGGAGAAATTTCTCAGGCACAGTGCCATCTATGAACTCTTTTCTCAAGAGGCTTGTGTGCCTTTTACCTTATAGATACTATATATACTATAATCCAGTATAAAATTCTCTTTTATTTAGCTGTAAAACCAAGCCTTCAACAGTTCAGCTCTGGTAACTGTGTAAAGACTATGGCATACATTTGTATGTACTTCTATAATCAGCTCCAAGTCACTAAATTTTTTTTTCCCCTCAAATTTTCTTTTGAAAAAAATCCTCACACATTGTGCTTAGGTAAGCTAGCTCAAAGTGAGACCCAAGTATTCAATAGCATAAGAAGCTATCACACACACATATATAGACATCAATCAACTGCGGAAAAAAAAAAAAACAAACTACCTCAAACAGCTGCAATTTGTTCTTTGTGTGGCTTCAACAAAATCCCAGGACGCTACTTTATCAGGTATCTCTTCTTCAGACAGACCACCTGATGAAGCTGAATATTTCCTCCTAAGATTTGAAATTATAAAATTCTTTAGAATTCATAAGGTTTTCTATAACCATGAATAAAGCATTAAAGTTAAAAAATCAGATTTTTAAAGTCATACAAATGACTTTTTATACTTTAAATATCTATATACAAGTAACTACCAACATGCAATATTTTAAACTTGAAAATGAAAACACGTACTTGTTCTGTGCTCTGTTCATATTGCATTCTTGCCAAACTCTATCCACCACATGATTTGCTAATTTTCTGGGTATTTTCCCACCGTGATGGCTAGTACTATCAGAGTTGAAGCCATCAGATACTGAAGAAAATTTGACCCACTTCTGGGCAGACTGAGGATCAACTGAAAACAAACAAAAAAGAATAGGCTATAGGAGAATAAAAGGACATTTAAAGTAACATTATTTGGGTTTGGGTTTGTTTTTTTTTTTTTTTTTTTGCTTAATTTGTTATACAATGTACTCCACATCTACCTGGTATGCCTCCATATATTTTGAGACAAAAAACGTTACTTTACTTAAAATACAGAAAGCAAAAAATCCAAACAGGATGTAAACTTGATGGTAGTGTTATATCAAAGCTGACTTCCTGACTCTGAGGATTAAATGGTAGTTATATAGGAGAATGTTCTTAAATTTGGGAAATACACTCAGTACTTGGGCGTAATGCGGCATTGTGTCTGCAGCTTGTTCTCAAATGGTTCAGAAAAAGGCCAATGATAATGAATGTATACATCTAGAGAGGGTGATGGAACAAATGCTAACTGTTTTGAAATCTGGATGAGAGAGTTCTTTGTATACATGGAAACTCTTCAGTAAGTCTGAAATTACTTCAAAATAATTAAGTGCTGATATATTCAGAACAACAGATTTATAACTAGTGCTAATGAAAAAGATTAATACAATACCTGTTTGGACTTCTTCAGGAGACGTAGGTGGTGTAAGAGTAACTGAAGACATAGCAGGATCTCTTGTGGAAGCAGGCACTTGGTGGACACCCAAGCAAGAAGCTGAACAGTGAGAGGATCCCACAGAGCTAGGAGTAGGAATGTCTGACTGAGGGACTAGAACAAAGCATGCTGGGTAGATCATTCGGACACCAGCTGAAAGGAAAAAATAATGGACAAGAAAATAAATTACCACTATGACTATAGTGGGATTAGTTTTGTTCAAAAGTACTGTAATGGAAAAGTACATACTATCACATTTGTTTAAATAAAATAAAAATATATTTAATGTATTTTTATAAATATATGCTCCTTTTGGCATAGGTTTTTGGAAGAAACCATGAGAAAATGTTAATACCTTTAGTGGTAACCTTCAGTGAGAGACTTAGAAGCAAGCAGCTTTCTCTTTTTGGATTTTCTAATCATGAGAGTGTATTACTTTTAAATCTTTATTTGTAAATTTGACAAACTATAATGTATATTACTTTTTAAATTTTTTTAAAGTTTAATAAAGGTAATCTGGACACTAGAATTACGGACCATTTTCTGCTTTCTTCTTTACATGTCTTTTACTGAAAGCCTAATATATGTTTGTGTTTTGTTTCTGGTTTTTTCACAACTACCCTGGTAGTAAGGTATTTATTGAAGTTCAATACTGGTATTCTTTTTATTAAAGAAAAACAACAACAACCCGTGAATAAGGCAATCTTCATATATATAACATCCACACGATTCTATTAAACACCGTTGCAGATTCTAATCCTAATTATCTGCTCAATTATACATTCCCCACACCTCCCCCATCTCTCTAACATGGAGTATACCTATTCACTCCACTCTTAGGCTTGGCTGTGTGACCTGCATATGATATACACCAGATCCCAAGAGAAGCTTTAAATGTGCTTGCAAGATCAGTGCAGCCTCTTATTCCTGGCTTTTCCCTCAAGATAAGCATGTCCCAAATATAGTTTACCTTGTTAATCTGGGTCCCTGAATGAGAAGACACAGAGAAGAGCCAATATGAAAAGAGCTGACCTGGGCAGAGCAGATCAAAGCCATGAGTTCTTTAGGTGCACTTTCTACCTTTTAAAAATTATCAGAGGCAACAGTTTCACCAAATGTTAAAATACTACGTAACAGGTTGTCAACTTTCCAGCTTCTAAATGTTACTCATTCACAGTTATCTTCTTCCCACCTTTAGCATGCTTACCTCTAGGTGGTATATATTTCCTTGCCCCAATGACTTTGGCATGGCAAAGTGACTAGTTCTTTCTAATGGAGTGTGAGCAGATGTAACATACATCATATCCTAGCAGAAGCTTTAAATACACTTACATAGTTACACTCAGTCCTTATTATTCCTCTGTTCTTATAAGAAAAGCATGTCCCAGAGAGTGGGTAATCATGGAATGTAGGTTGTAGAATGACAAGATACAAGGAGCCAAACCACAACCAACCTGTAGCCCTTATGTAATGTGAGGAGAAAACAAAGAAATAAATGCTTACTGTTGAAAGCCACTAAAGTATTGGAATTATTATTCAGCAAAATCTAATACACAGTCACATATTTTTCCCTTAAAATTAATACTCAGAATCCATACCAACAAGAACTTCTACTGCAGCTAAAGAATCATCTTCCCAATCCATATCTTCTTGTTTTTCTTCAGACATCTCCTTTAAGCAAGATGAGATAGGATAGAATTGCTTCCATTCACCAATCAATTTTTTGGTAGCTGAATCAGACATCTTGAATGCTTGTCCTGTGAGAGTGCCATTTAGTCCAAATGGGCTTAAGATTACTAGAGACCCAAAAGAGACATCGAGTAAGTAACTAAAGACTGGTACACCAGATAAGATCACACTGAATAGTCTGACAAGTAATGCAATCTAAAAAAGAAAAGGAAACTCTTAACAGTCATTTCAGAGAAAAATTTATTATACTTCATTATTGTTAAGATAAAGCACAATATTTATTATAAAATCTTAAAATTTTGTCCACCCAAAAAATCTCACATGGTTAGAATTTCAACATGAGTGGGGTTATATGTATATCCTTCAACTTCTCTTGATTTCCAGTAAGAAAAAGCAATTTGAGGAAAAACTGTGTGTGTGTGTGTGTGTGTGTGTATAAATCTAAGTACTTTTATTATGTACTGCCATGTAATTTTTAAAAAGTAAATACTAGGGTTAGAATTAAAACAAGAACACCCTGTCAGTCCTTAAAAACAAATCAACAATCTTGTATAAATATCAAACTCCCCGTGTTCCAACGTTAAAAATGGCTTATGTGACTGGACACAAAAGATGACCTTGAAAACATAAACCTATATATCTGCTAAATGTTATTTAAAAGAACACTTTAAAACATGCTATCGTTCATGTACAAGAATTTTTTTAAAAAATATTTGTATTAAAAAACTTATTTCATTGACTTAAAACTCTGGAAGAAGAAAATAAACTACATCAGAATCATCACTAGGCTAACGATCATGGGAAATCTCATTAGTACCAAAATTTAAAATTACCAATTGCAATTAAGAGTTTTCTTGAAACAATACGAGATCAAATATCTAAGCCAGTAAATAATCTACCTTGAAATGGGCTATTAGACTGTTGAGCAAGGGTGATATGCTCTTCACTAAGAAGGTATACAGGTTGATGTTGGTTAATTTCCACACTGGTACAAACATTGCTGTCTCCATGCAAGAAAAAGGTGAAAGAGCAGGACAAGTGTTCACTAATAAAGAAGAAAAAGTTGTATTTTAGTGATGATTAATAGCCAAAATATAAGTTAACTTGCTTTTCTTTATTAAGAAGCTATACTACAAAAACGCATATTTTTCTTTAACCCAGAAATTCTACTTCATCATCTGAAGGGGGGGGGGAATCACAGATATAAGCAAAGATTTAGTTTTAAGAAATGTTCTTCACAGCACTGTTTATAGTAGAAAAAGCTGCAAATCAAGGAATCAGTAAACAAGTTAGGTACGCCCACACATACCCTTATAATACAGCCACCAAAATAAGTAAAGGTAAAGGGGAAGTGGGTTTAATGGAAAGGGTAGTCTACCAAAATAGTAGTTTCAATTTTTTTTTTAAATTGAGTGTAAAAAATCTAGGTGTGCAATCGAATTAAGGATGACCTAATTTTTGTTTATTTTCCCTTGTAATTAAGAAATTAAATACAATTATATTTTCTCATTTTATTATTTCTGAAATTGGGCTACATTCAATCAATCAAGCATTTAATGTACTGCCCTCCTCTGACCCCCAATAGTAAGTTATTTTAAAGAAATGATGGATCTTACAACTGAAGGCATCCTAGAATCGAAGCTATATGCAAAGCAGAACATCTTATGAAATTTAGATATGGCTGGGAAAATAAAAGTTCCCAAGAGGAAAGCACAACGATCCTTAGGATAGAAAAGTCAAATGGCCTAGAAGAGGAGACTGTACAGTAAGAAGAATCCACTCGTATTTCTTTTCCACACATTTATCTTAAGAATTTGTCTTGGGGGTGCCTGGGTGGCTCAGATGGTTAAGCGTCTGCCTTCGGCTCAGGTAATGATCCCAGCGTCCTGGGATCGAGTCCCGCATCGGGCTCCCTGCTCAGCGGGGAGCCTGCTTCTCCCTCTGGCTCTCTCTCTCTGTCTCTTA